CCATATGGGGAGTGTTTGTCTATCCCATATGGAAAAGAAATAGTAAAAACATATATGACTTACTCATGAAAGTGGCCACTTTCTCATTACTTTCATATATTTTTTTAGTAAGTATACAAACATACATACATACAAGTTTCATTATATAATTTTTCAAGGGATCTTATATGTGTTTTGACTCTTGTATGCTTTTCATACAAGTTTCATACAAAACAGATAAAAACTTTATAAGATTTATATATATCTTTTCCATATGGGATGTTTTGTGTTGGAAAGAAAAAGAAATTGTCTGATACATTAGAAGATCAGATTTTTAAAACACCAAATATCAGTATCTTCTCCAAAATCTACATTGGTTAGGCTCTGATCATTTATGTTAATCACAGCGTAACTGTATAAATATCATAGTCCCCTCTTATTTGCCTGTTGCAGATCACCATAGAGATTGCTCAGGACTTACTTTAAGAATGACTTCTAGGCCGTAAGTAATGAGTTAAATATATGAACTTTTCAGTTAATAATGAAACAAAATAAATTAGAAGATGTTTTAACAGTTGTTTCTTCAAGACTGCTTTCTGGTTGAGAACATCAAAGAATATAAACATCGATAACCTGAAAATAAACATTTCCTTCCAATCCACTAACTTTTTTTGTTTTTGTTCTTCTGTTGGACTTCTAAAAAGGCAGCCATTCATTGCTGGCATATATTTGCTCATGTCTGTGGACACAGTTATCCTTCCAGGACAAAGAGGTATGCTATAAGTCTTTTAACATAGCACAGTCCAACCTGCAGTAAATCGTGTGTTTGTGTGTGACAAAGTCTCATTTACGTGTTTATGTACTTTGTCATATAACAAAACTAACTTGGATAGCGTCTTTATTTGTAAGTAACAAATTGAATAGGTTGATTTTGTTCATCTGGACGTAGCGTTTTGAGAAATGTTTCGTCACTCATCCAAGTGACTTCTTCAGCCTCAGCTGACTGCAGGTTTTCCCAACCTTGTAAACAGTACATTGCACATTTTATTTCTGTGATTGCAGCCATTCCATAACTCTCTGTGAATGTTACTCATGGCCATTGATCTATCGTCTGTGATCAATGGTTGTTGATCAATGGTCATGAGAATCTCCATATTAATGATCAAGGAACTGACCTCACAGCCCAGTGTTTGTTTAGTGGGCTGGTTTCAGTTATTGTGCAATATACTGTTTATAAGGTTGGGGAAACCTGCAGTCAGCTGAAACTAAAGAGGTCACTTGGATGAGTGACGAAACGTTTCTCCCTTTGAATATACTATGTCCAGATGAACAGAATGAACCTTTTGGAATTTACTTATCTGGATTATTGAGCATACATCAAGACAAATTGAATAAATATTTAAAAGTAAAGCCAGCTGTTTCAGTCTGTTCACAAATGCTTGATAGAATGCATGAATGGATAAGTCAGAAGAAAAGTGATGCCTGTCCTGACTTGCTTTGCTTTCCTGTGTTAGTTACAGATGCAGATGTCGCATGCGATTATACTTCATATCCAATCTACCCATTTGCCTTCAGGACCCACACACACCACCTTGGTGAGAAAAAACAAATAATTTTCTAACTTTTTCAGATCATTTTTTTTATCAGTATGAGTGTTAGTATGAATTAGTCTGTTTTTCACAGGTAAAGTGGTCAGTGGCTACAGAATCCGAGATGGGAAGTGGACCCTGATTGGGAGACAATCCCCTCAGCTACCACAGGTAGGTCATCAAATCAAAGGCCCATTTTTGGAAACCACACAGTACTGTGCTTGAGCAAACTCTCATTTCTTTATATACTGCTCAAAAATATGTTTCTAAATCATGGTTGGCTTGGGAATCAAATACATTAAATAAATTGAAGGAACACTTTTAAAGTATAGTATCAAGTCAATTAAACTTCTGGGATACTGATCCGGGCAGTTAAATATTAGAAAGGTTGTTAATCAATTTCAGCTGCTTGATGTTGGTGAAAAGAACAACAGGTACACAAAAGAGGGTCAAGAATGAGACAAGCCCCAAAACGGCAATGGTTTTCCAGGTTGAGGGTACTGACATTTTTTCCATCCTCATATTTCCTGACTGTATACATACTTTATATCCAGGTGATACTTAGACTTTAAAAAATGTTGGATAGGTAGTCCAGTTCCTCTAGGATGGCCAGTTCATATGTGCCATTCGCAAAGGTTTGCTGTGTTTCTCAGCTTATTCTCAAGAGCATGAAGGAGAAAGGCAATTACTTTAGGAGAGCTGGGGAGTAAAAGTTCCGTACCCAATTATAACTGGTATGTGTTCCTTTGTACAAGAAGGAACAGTATGAGCATTGCTAGATCCCTACAAAAAGATCTCCCACAGAGCATTGGTGTGAATGTCTATTACCGGAAAATCAAGCCATCCACATGATGTACTGTAAAAGAAAACATGATTCACCAGACTAGGTCACCTTTTTCCATTGCTCTGTGTTACAGTTCTTATGCTTTATAATGCCCATTGTTTGTGCTTTAGAGGTGCACAGGGTTCAGCATGGGAACCCTGACTGGTCTGCACTGTGTATTCTGATACATTTCTATCAGAACCACACTTTTTTTGGCAGTTTCAGCCACATTCGCTCATCTGTTGGATCAAATCACACAGGCCAGTCTTTGCTCCCTATGTGCATCAGTGATGTACATGGAGTGACACACTTGGCTGCCCATGACCTTGTTGCTGGTCCACCAGTTATGTTTCCTTGGACCACTTCTGATAGATACTGACCACTGCAGAATACACCACAAGAACTGCAGTTTTGGAGCTGCTCTGATCCAATCATGTGCGCATCACAGTTTGGCCCTAGTCAAAATCTTTCAAATCCTTAAGCTCAGCCATTTTTCCTGCTTCTAACACATTAAGATTAAGGACAAAATGTTCACTCATTAACAGAAGCTATGATGAAGAGATTAATCTGTTACGTCAAGACACAACTCTAGCGTCTAGGCACTGTAAGTAGGTGCCATTTTAGGCCTGAATAATGTATACAGCAATTTTAAATACCTTAACAAACAACTAAAAAATTGTCCTAGGTACAAAAACTGCAAGAAACCTAATGTAAAAGCAGGTCCTCTCTTTCTTTCTCTTTAACGCTCTCTCTCTTTCTTGCTCACGTTGTCTGTTTCTTTTCAAGTACAGCTTAGTTTTCTCTTTGCTCACCACTGACTGATTTTTTCTCTTTAGGCTTTCTATCCTGCTAACAAGCAGGTGAATGTGAAATATGGTGATACCCTTGCTGCCAGATGTGTGTTCACTGGTGAGGGTAAAACCTCAAAAACTTACATTGGGTGAGTTCTTCAACCTAATGTAACCTCAGTGAAAAAGTATAAGACTTATATCCATTTACTGTTTTTCTCAATATGGTATGCACTGAAGGCATAAAGAAACCAAGCATTAAGTTTCCAAGCATTAAGATTTAAAAAAAACACTGTGCTAAAATTGTATTGATCTTAATTTAAAAAAATGTCTCGTACCAAACTCTGCCCTGCCTTTCCACATAAGAATGTATCTAGAATGTGGGTTTTTTGTATGTGCCTGGCCCGTAAGGCCAGCTAGTAATTGCACTTGCCTTATTGAAACGAATGAAGGCCCAGTAATGCTAATTTCTTAACATGGACTAAAGCTCTTAAGATGCAACCATCTTATTTCTTTCACATTTTAGTTTTGATTCCATCTGACATTTACAAATTGTAAGATGATTAAAAAAGTCTAGTTCTAAGTGCCCTGTAATGTCCTGCCTCTTGCGCAATGTTAGCTGGGATAGGCTCGCGCCGGCCCGTGACCCCGATAAGGATCCTGTATTTCTTGTGCTGGTAGTTGATATTAATAAATTGTGTCCAACTGTGACAGTTAGTCATTTAAAATAAATATGCTAGTCCTCAATTGTCAGTGATTATTGCTAATTTATAGAGGGATAGCTGCTGAAATATAATACTCTATGTTGAGAAGTTTGTAGACAAGGTCTTAATGTTACACTTACAACATAAAACTATTTACACAAACATTATTTGCATGTTTGCATATACTAACTAAGTGAGAAATCAATACCAGGTATCTGTCTTTTTTTAATACAGCGGTACTTCTGATGATGAAATGTGCAACTTCTATATAATGTATTACATGGAAAGCAGACATGCTATCCCTTACATGAACTGCATGGAGATGGGTTCTGAAGAGCTGTTCCAACATATTCCCCCTGAGGCAAATGTACCCATTAATGTCAGTCCAAGCCATACGAATTCTGTGATGCATCTGGGACAATCCACAGGTACAGCGACATCAAATATTGTTCATACTAACCATCTCTAATCCAAATTGTTAACTTAGCATTTGTTGTTTTTTGTAGAATAAAATCTATGCTAATTTAAGATTTTTAGTCATTTTTCGCAATTCTTTCCATCTGCGGTCCATTGTCTTTTTAAAATTAATTGTATAACTACCATATTTAGTTACCATATTTTGTTTTTTTTTCTCTCATAAAGATGATCGTGACCACGCAGTTGTGCTGGATACAAATAAACCAGAAACTGTGGATCAGGGTAAGTTCTAACACTTTGCACTCTCTCTCTCTTTGTCTTGTCTTGCTCTCTCGCTCTCTCGCTCTCTCTCTCCACACACACACACACACACACACACACACACACACACACACA